GGCCAGAAGTCAGCTACGGGGAGGAGGCCTCAAGCGAGACGCCCGGCCCGCCTTACTTACCAACACGCCTGGCGGTCAGACGAGGAGGAGCTACCTAGAAGCAGAAGGGGGCGGGGGAGGAGAGCGAGGACCAGCACGCATCCTGAAATAAGATAGGCTGGGTGGTGGCCGGCCCGACCCAACCCAAGACCTTGAGTCTGCGTCTGCCGACGAGGCTGCTGTTCAGGTTGGCGTGGGCGGCCGCGCGCGAGGGGGGCCTCTCGCCCTCTCGCGCGGGCTCCTCGCTGCATCCAGCCCAACCTGCCTACCAATCCCACCTATCCCGCTCCTGTTCCTGCTCCTGCAGGAGGAGGAGGAAGAGGAGGAGGAGGAGGAGGAGGAAGAGGAGGAGAAGGAGGAGGAGGAGGAGGAGGAGGATTGGCGGCGAGCCCAGGGGGAAGTGAGGGGGGGAAGGCCTTCTCAGAGGGCGGTGGACAGAGACGGCTTCTCAGAAGGCCAGAAGGTTTCTTTAAAGCCCCCGTTCACTTCCCCCTCCTCCTGCAGGAGCAGGAGCAGGAGGAGGAGGAGGAGGAGGAGGAGGAGGAGGAGCAGCAGGAGGAGGAGGAGGAGGAGGAGCAGCAGGAGGAGGAGGAGGAGGAGGAGCCTTTTCGGGGACCTCGCGGGCTACGCCTATGTCGCTCTCGCCGCCCACGCGCGGCAGCGCTGCTGGCCGTGTGCACGCCGCACTCCCGCGCCGACACCAGCGTGACCCGCCAGGGCCGTACAACCCCCCTCCCCCTCCCCTGCTCCTCCTCCTCCTCCTCCTCTCCTCCTCCTCCTCCTTCTCCTCCTCCTCTTCCTCCCCCTCCCCCTCCTCCTCCTCCTCCTCCTCCTCCTCCTCCTCCTCTTCCTCCGTGCCTTGGCGACTCTGGTCTTCGCCCCCGCGTCGGAGTAGGCAGCTAGGTAGGAATTGGGCTCCGGCTTCGCCTTTCGCCCAAACCGCTTGGCCAGCCACTTCTCGTGGTGGGAAGCCGCTCCGCTCTTTTCTCGGCTCTGCTCCCTCGCGCTGCAGGGTGCTGTCTCTGCACCGCTCTGTGTGCTGTAGTTGGTGACATAGGGCTTTACCTTCGCCTCCGTGTTCCGCTGCAGCTGCTCGCACGCGCTCCCAGCACTGTAGTTGATGGAATCGGGCTCCATCGCTTCGCCTCCCACTTGCCACATCGTTGCGATCCCTGCTCGAGCCCTCCTCACGGCCCTCCCCATGGCCGCTGGAGCTGATGGTTTTGGGCTCTTCCTTCGCCTCCACGGGGTAGTGGTAGCTAGCTATGTCGGAAGTGGGCTCCAGCTTCGCCTCCGTCGTTGCGCCCTCTTGACGCTGCCACTACGCGCCCTTCTCGCACGCCCACTGCACGTTTTCTTGAGGCCGCCACTGCCCGCTTCCCTCGCACGCACGGCCCTGGCCCTCTTGAGGCTGCCATTGCCCGTCTTTCTCGCTCGCGCAGTGCCCGTCCCAGAGAGTCTGCCACTGCCCGTCCGTCCCGCACTGCTGCCACTGCCAGTTTTTGTCGTTCTCGCACGCGCAATTCTCACTTTTTTGAGGCTGCCGCTGCCCTCTCTTCTCGGACGCATGGTCCGCCGGGGCGGCGGCCATCTCGTCGCCCATCTCCTGCAGGAAGAAGTTGGGCTCCAGCTCCGCCGTGCGCTCAAACCGCTTGGCCAGCCACTTCTCGTGGTGGGAAGCCGCTCCGCTCTTTTCTCGGCTCTGCTCCCTCGCGCTGCAGGTGGCGGTCTCTGCACCGCTCTGTGTGCTGTAGTTGATGACATTGGGCTTCTCTTTCGCCTCCGTGTTCCGCTGCAGCTGCTCGCGCGCGCTGCTCCCAGCGCTGTAGTCGATGACATCGGGCTTCCTCGTTTCGTCGCCTGCCAGCCACGTCGCTGCGATCACTGCTCCAGCCTTCCACATGGCCCTGCTAGTGCCGTCGTCGCTGTAGCTTGTGGCGTTGGGCTCGTTCTTCGCCCCCACGGGGTAGTGGTAGCTAGCTGAATTGGCGTTGGGCTCCAGCTTCGCCTCTGTCGCTGCGCCCTCTTGGCGCTGTCCCTGCCCAACCATCTCGCACGGCCACTCCCCGTCCTCTTGAGGCCATCACTGCCCGTTTCTCTCGCACGCACGGCCCTCGTTCTCGCACGCCTGAGGCTGCCACTGCCTGTCCGCTTGGGGATGCCACTGCCCGTCGTCTTGCCACTGCTCGTCCGTCTCGCCCGCACAGTCCGCTTGAGCCTGCCCACATGCCACGATCCCCGTGGGGTAGCTGATGGTGTTGGGCTCTATCTTCGTCTTCCACTTCCCGCTGCATGTCTGGGTCTGGGCTTCCTCGCTCTCCTCGCACGCGCGGTTGCTAGAGCTAGGGTTAGCACGACTGTTGGGCTCCAGCTTCTCCACCATTGGTACAGCCTTCTCGCACTGCCCGCACTCGCTGCGCTTGGCGCCGGAGCTGATGGCGTCTGGCTCTCGCTTCGCCCCTTGGTGCCACCGCTCTGGGGGCTCCCACGCTCTCTCTAGGCCCTGCCACTGCCCGTCCGTTCATGCCCTGATCACCACGCGGTAGCTGGTGGCGTCGGGCTCTATCTTCGCCTTCCACATCCCGCCTGGGTGTCACAGGCTGGTGCTCCTGCTCTCTCTTCTCGCACGCGCGGCTTCCGATGGTGGGGTTATCGAGGCTCTCGGGCTCCAGCTTCGCCGCCACCGATGCAGCCTTCTCGCACTTCTCGCGCTCTCCGTGTCCTGCGCTGAAGCTGATGGCGTCTGGCTCTCGCTTCGCCTCTTGCTGCCACTCCTCTTCCTGCACGCACGCTCTCTCCTGGCGCTGCCACTGCCCGTCCGTCTCGCCCGCACAGGCCGCTCCTTCTTGCAGCTGCCACTGCCCGTGCCCGTCATCCACCTGAGGCTGCCACTGCCCGTCGTTCCCGCGCCCACTCTCTGGATGCTGCCACTGCCCGTCCTGCCCGCTCGCACCCCTGCCCTCCTCCGCGTAGCCTCGGCCTTCGCCTCGCCCAGCTGGGGCTGGCACTGCGCTTCCTCCTTGCGCAGCCTCTGGATCTTGTCCTGCAGCTGGCGGGGGGGCTTCCTCTATGGCGGGCCGTGGCGCCGCGAAATGGCTGCAGCTGCGCAGAAGAGCTAGCCTGGAGGAGGAGGAGGAGGAGGAGGAGGAGGAGGAGGAGGAGGAGGAGGAGGAGAAGGAGGAGCAGGAGGAGGAGAAGGAGAAGGAGGAGAAGGAGCAGGGGGAGGAGCAGGAGGAGGATGAGGAGCAGGAGGAGGAGGAGAAAGAGGATGAGGATGAGGAGGAGGAGGAGGAGGAGAAGGATGAGGAGGAGGAGGAGGAGGGCGAGGAGGAGGAGAAGGAGGAGGAGGAGCAGTAGCAGGAGGAGGAGGAGGAGGAGGAGCCGACAAGACCACCCCGCATAGGTGAAGCCGCCGCTCTCGCGGCGGGCCGCTTCGGACCCCCTCCTGCGCGAGGCCCTCCTCTCGCCCGGTCTCGCCGGCGGCATGGGCCGCTCGTGCGGGCCTCCCCCGACCGACCCGAAGCTCGCGGGCAGGCCCTCGGGGTGGGACGGCGACGACGACGACGACGCCGACGCCGACGACGCCAACGACGACGACGCCGACGACGACGCCGACGCCGACGCCGACGCCGACGCCGACGACGACGACGGCGCCGACGACGACGACGCCGTGAGGGAGAGGGGTCCTGGAGGAAAACGGGCCGCTGGAGGCTCCTTGGCCATTTTCGGGCTCCCGAGGCGCCGTCTTATCGCATCTTATCCGAATCCTCCTCCTCGTCCTTATCCTTCTCCGTGGGGGCTCTTCCGCATGCTGTGCCTCCTTGTCCTTCGCCGTCATCGCTCCTCCATGCCCCTGATTCTTGCTCCCGGCAGGCCGGAATGGGTCGGCAACTTTGACACCGAGTCGAGGCTGAATCGGGGCCTGGGGGGCAAAATGGGGCGGTGACACCTGCCTCTGACGCCATATCCAGACATCTGGCGGTTCGATTTTTTCGAGTCTTCGCCCTAGTAGTAGTAGTAGTAGTAGTAGTAGTAGTAGTAGTAGTAGTAGTAGTAGTAGTAGTAGTAGTAGTAGTAGTAGTAGTAGTAGTAGTTAGTAGTAGTAGTAGTAGTAGTAGTAGTAGTAGTAGTAGTAGTAGTAGTAGTAGTAGTAGTAGTAGTAGTAGTAGTAGTAGTAGTAGTAGTAGTAGTAGTAGTAGTAGTAGTAGTAGTAGTAGTAGTAGTAGTAGTAG